TAATTTTTTTTTTTTTTTTTCAAGATTATTTTATTCAAAATAATTTTTAAAAAATAATTGGTGAAAAAAATGTGTATTTTTATTCATCCGTTCAAAAGTTAATATATTCATTTGAAAGCGAGGATGACTGATGACAGGCGGTGGGGTGTGGTAGAGTATCCGCGTAGAGTTGTTTTGATCTGCGCGCGTTACCTACCGCACTCCACCTCCCGTCATAAGTCATCCTCACTTTCAAATGAATATATAATTTTTGAACGGATGAATAAAAATTAAAATTTTTTCACCAATTATTTTGAATAAAATGGCTAGGTATGTTGCAAAAAAAATAAAAAAAATGTAATAAAAAAAATTAATTAAAAAAAGTAAAACAGGTAAGCGCAATAAGAACCGTGGTGCTTATAGCGCAAATGAGTATAACTTATTAAAAAAAAAAATCTCAAAAATATTCGCTAGAACAAAAGTTATTTAATTTGTCAAATCTTTGTTGGCCATCCTGTGTATAGATAGGTCACCGATCTATATAAATTTTTAAATTATTAAACTGTTATAATGTTATAATATTATTAAATCACTTTTGAATAAACGCTACGATGCGGTTCTGTAACGGTAGACATACGAATATCGAAAAAACCATCGTATTACCTAATGACAATAATGATGTGCATAAAGATAAATTTGTAGTATTGCTACTATATATCTACTCACACACAGCAACAGCAAATTAATTATAATATTAGGTAGGTAGGTTGGTAGACCATAAATAATTTTTTTATTACAGTGACCTTGAGACCTCGTTAAACACTCAAATAATTTTATTCAACAACAACACCAAATTGCATGTAGAACTTTTTGTTTTTAATGAAATAATTGTTGACACGGGTAAAACTTTTTTGATCTAAAAGTAAATAGATAATTAAGAGTTCTGCTGTGTTCAAATATAGATTTAAAAAACAAACAGAACAAAAACTCCGTGTTGAAAAATCAAAACTGTAAAAAAACATTTTTCCGCACTGAATCGATAAAAAACCACAACAAATAATGAACAAAATGCGAACATTATTTTTGTGTTTTCAACCATCTATACTGAAAAAATCGTTTAAAAAATATGTGTGTTTTGTATACTTGATTGTATCTACTTCTACTTGTCTGCTTGAAATAAATGATAATACATTCGTTTAACTCCCTATCCATTTAATTTGTACCAATGTTAAATATCATACCGGATTCTTTAAGCGCATTATATAATGTTTTATATTTATTTTTGTAGTTTAGGTCGTTTGCATTTCATAATATTGGAGTTCCGTGGTACACTTAATCAATCTAATTATATATACGTATCATCAATAGACCATTTTTTCTTTGGCTCATTTTAGGAAAAAGAGAAAAAAATTCCTAACAAAAAAAACTAAAGTGAATTTTCCAGGGAACTTTACAAAAAATAATTAGCTTTTGGAATTTGGATAAGCGAATACTATAATTTATAAATATGAATGATAATTTTTAGCGTTTAACAGGTACACATCATATTTTACATAGGTACAACAATAGATTACAAAGTAAATAGGATACAAGTAGGTACACAATTGTGTCAACGCGTGATCAGGACATAATTCTGTTGATGCTAATTTTATCGGCTTTAGTACGTCCACACGATTTGTGCACATATACCAATCATCTTCTAATAGTTTCATTGCTCTTGCTAGTTTTCTAGGATAATATGATATAACGGCTAGTACTGAAATAATACCTGGACGTCAATCTAATTGGCTGAGCTGTTCATCTTGTTTTTGTTGAATTGCACAAACATGTATTTTTAGATATAATAACGAGAAAACAATAGTCGATTACAACGATATTTTATTTAATTGCTTACTACTTCATTTATAATATAATTGCAATAATTTAATATTTTAATAATTGAACATCATTTTATAATATCTTAATTGAAATAAAAAGATTGGTGATAAAAGATCGCCTTAGAAAATGTTAAATTGGTACCTATTGACTTTTGGATTTTTAATATAATTAATGCTAATTTCCAATTTGTCAGTAACAATAATTCATTAGAAGGACACATAATTATACAAGTCTTTTATATATTTTACGCTTTATCAAATCTGACAGCTGATCATATTTATTTATACGTTCTGGCCAACAAAGACATAGTTTCACATTTCATAGTTTACATAGTTGCCCGTTTTAGACTATTTTTTTTATAATATTAAAATTTATTTTTGGATAATTTTCTATTCTTAGCAGTTGTCCATTAAAATGTTAACGTTGAGATTCATGCGGTTCAACAAGTAAGACTTACATTTGGTTTTTGTATGCAAATCATTTTCAATGTATTTTAAACTTGAACAAAGCGAGTAGAGATAAATTTAGTTTGTATTTACTTACAATAAGACATTAACAAAGTTGACTATTATCTTAGCGGATAAAAAACATTTTAATACAAAAAAAAAAATACTTTATAATCGATTTTTGGCCAAAGTTTCAATGTGTATTAAGATATTATTTAATATTTATTTGGCATAGTCTGGCAAATAATTTCGCACTTGCCAGTCTTGGTAATGCTCGACACATGTCGAGAAGAAGCACAAAGGGCACAAAATCTGTGGCAAAACAGCAGCCACAGACGGTTGCATCGCCACCTCCTCAAGCACATCCCAAACCATCCGGATTTTGGCGAACGGTCATGCAAGACGCGACATCTTATGCGATAGTAAATATTATAAAATTAACGGTCTACAAACTGTGCAATGTATATAAGTAAAATCGAATTCACCATTTACTGTTGTACAGGGCACCGCGGTGGGTAGAGTTATATACAACGGTGTATCTGAGTTGTTTGGAGGCCGCCCTAGTAATGACTCAACAGACATTACAAACAAGAAAACTGAAGACGGAGTTGGAGGTGGTTCCAGTTTGGAATGAATTAATTACTATAGATAATTAAAAAATATACCTATATATTGTACACGGTTTAGAAGGTATAGAATCCAGACTCACATACAAAAAAAAAATAATAATAATAATAATAAATCAGTACGGTGGGCATCGAGGCATATGGAGACGGATCATATGTATTTGGACAGGGGAGGACACTGATCTAATAAATTATTAAATCATTTTCGAATAAACGCTTCGATGCGATTCTGTGATGGTAGACACAGGAATATCGAAAAAAGCGTCGTATTACCTATTGACAATAATGTGCATAAAGATAAATTTGTAGTATTACGGTGGGTACTATGGGGTAGATCGTCTGTAGAAATTTATTGCTATATCTACCAATGCACATTGTAATTCAAATTAAAATATTTCCAAATAACTATTGTTGATTCACTCGCACATAGCAACCAATAAATTGACTACAATCAAAGTGTAATTGTTCCTTTTGTTTTGGTTTTTTTAATTAACTACAGATTTTTAAGGAAAACAGTCCATGTTGGGCGCATACTAGTTGCATCTGGGAAACTACGAGTTGCATGTGATCCTTATTACTAAACTAAAAAGGTTAACCTACAGTCAGTGCTTGATTTGGGGGGGGGGGGTTTGAGTACCTCAACTAATTTTTTTTAATATTCTAGCGTACCCCTCTACTTCTTTTTCAAAGGAGAACGAACGCATGGAACGGGTTGTTTTTTAAGCTTACCTATTTTTATAAAATTGCTCAACTTGACCTAAAATTGAACAATTTTTAAATATTTTTTTAACACTTAAAAACATTTTTTTTTTAAATTATCTAACGATGTTTATGGTAATTATAATGGCGTAGTATTGATATTTACATATTACATTAATATGTATTTAAACTATATTTAATCGAGTGTTATCTCCTTAAAACTAGCGACCTATAATTTAGCTAAAAATGAAAAACCCTGAAGTTTTGACCCTTGAATGAAAAACAATGAATCATGAATATGTTTTCTACTACCAGTAGGAATTTTAATAGTACAGATAATCCGCGCCCTGTCACATCAACTATCACATTATAATATTTTTCACTATTATTATTTTGCTTTTTCCCCCATTCTTCTTTTAATATCGAAATTCAGGTTTGGTTAGGTTAGATGTTGATTAGATGATAGGTACTCATGAAGCCAATTTATGACAGCTATAAGACATATTTAATATTTATGTCAAATTCTTAATATCATGAGTGGAGGCTTTATACCTTTTTAGTTTATTTAAACAATTTTCTTATTAAATTAATAGGTAATATACTTCTATGTAGGTACAAGGTTATTCTATTTGTTGGTTGTACATTGTTTAAATTACCAATCTTTGTAGTTAATTTTGATATTTTTGATAATTTATTACTCAAACAATTAATATTTCAGGTCCCTTGGTCTAGTATATGGCGACAATATTCTTATGCAGAAATTGAATTTTGTAATAATTATTCTATACTGTAAATAAATTTAGTATATTGTTCAAAGTATTACTGAAATGTTTTTTAAATATAATTTATCCAATTAACAAAATGTTTCATAAATATGCCAAATTAAAATTTAAGCAATAATATTTTCAACAACTTGAAAACTTAAAAATTGTCTACGGTATTGCTTGATTTTAATTTATACTTGTGTATTTTAATAACTAGTTAACTACCAAAGTAAGTACATAGATTTGCTGTTTTGGAAAAATCTATATTTTACACTAACTAAAAAACATTTAGTTTTTGTTAAAAGTTTTTTTCAGTGGATTTCGGATGTCATTTTATTTGCAATTTAAAAATGTAATAAACATATTTATTTATTCATTTGGTACAGGTATGAGGTATTGATTTAACTCTAGACCAATGAGAAACTATTAATTTTTTTTTATATGTTATTTGTTAAAATAACATAAATAAGAGAAGCCAACAGAAAAATGTGGCTTCATAAGACTAAAACAAATAATTTTAAAGTATGTTCTCGATTCTTGTTTGAATTTAGTGTTTCTTGTAGTTTTGTTTTTTAAGTATAATCATTTGAATAAAATTTTATCTAATACTATTACAATATGCTCTAAAAAAAATGTATGAACTAGTACAGTTTTTGTCATCTAGCTAGTTTAGCTAAACAGTAAGTCTATTTATTTAGTTTTATTTCTACTATAAATTTATTGTGTCCCTGTTTTAACCAACGATATTATATAACTGTTACAACTACACATTTTTTTCTTCGTGCAGTCGCACATTTTATGTGGTATTTTGCGTACAATTAAAAAATTAAGGACCTTTCCAATTTAAATTTAGGTACCTATATCAGAAGTTATACTTCAATAAACAGTTAATTGATAACTTGGTAATTAAATAATATTGATAAAACTAAACTTGTTAGAGATAGAACCTTTTAGTACAAAAACTAAAATTCAAATATTAGATACTTAAGCTTTTGAAAAAAATAAATTTTAATATTAGGTAGGTAGATTGTTAGACCACAAATAATTTTGTTTATAGTGCTAATAACAATCTAACATACAAAATAATGTATATTGACCCCGTTAAACACTCAAATAACTTTATTCAAAAACAACACCAAATTGCTTGGAGAACTTTTTGATCAAAAAGTAAATAGATTATTAAAAGTTGTATCGGGTTCAAAGAAAAATTAAAAAAAAAACAAAACAAAAACTTTTTCCGTGTAGAAAAAACAAAACTGTCAAACATTTTTCCGCACTGAATTGACAAAAAAACCACAACAAATCATTAAGAAAATGAAAACAATATTTATTTGTTTTCAACTATCCATACTGAAAAAATCGTTTTAAAAATGTGTGCGTTTTGTATACCTGTATCTACAGACTACATCTACTTGTCTGCTTGAAATAAATAATAATACATTGGTTGGCTATCCATTTCATTTGTATCAGTGTTAAATATCATGTTGAATTCTTTGAGCGCGTTATATTATGTTTTAAATGTATTTTTATGGTTTAGGTCGTTCGCATTTCTTAATATTGGAGCTTTGTGATACACTCAATCAATATATATCATCAGTAGGCTATATAGTAGGCTCACCGCTCATTTGAAGTATACAAGTTACAACAGTCAACACTATCGGCATAACATTGATAATAAGAAACATCACTGGGTCGTTTGTGGCCAACTTCATGGCTGTCGGAAACGATCCGAACTTCTGTTCGGTACATATTTTAACGCTATTGAATAGTCGAAAAATTGTTAACAGTTGACACATTACACGGTAATAATAATTATTACATCTACAAACTTTCGTACTATTTTATAGCCGCTACAGGACATAGTAAATTTGACAAGTTCGATTAAAATTTAAAAGCCAATAACGTCTCTTAACTCGTTCGCATTGCAAGTTTTCATAACCGTGACGAAATGCAATTAAAAGGTTTATCGAAATCCAACGACAACGCGCTGTTTTTTTACCTTATTATGTTTGTATATTTGCATAAATTAAACATGCAAACGGCGTGTTATTATTATTACTATTACTCAGTATTGTGTCGTTATAGTGGTATTGTAGTTTTTCCACGGGTACCTCCGACGTTCACAGCACTTATTCACAATAAATACTCAAAATGCACTTACCTGCATAAAATGATAAGACGAAGTTTTGGAACTCTTTCATCAGCAAGCGGACTCCGACCGTGTCTTGCCTCGTTGCCACTAGGAAACGACCGAACGCAACACCGGCAATCGTGGCCACAATGACTATCAACCCTCTGTGCTCCAACAACTATGCACACATATTTGCCGTTGTCGTAGTATACTGGTAAGTCGTGCAGATTCGTGCACAAAACCTTGACATTCCGATCTAGCGTTGCATACCCCGCTGTTCTGCTACGGATTAGTTATACAAGCAAATTTTGCCGTTACAGGATCGTTTCCATTGTCGTGGTGTTCATCAATAAGGCTTTGTTGAGTTCCCAAGAGTTTGACATCAACGTGCCACTATTCATCGCTTGGTTCCAATGTTTGGTTTCGGCGTTAATATGTTTTACGTTCAGCATACTGTCAATTGTGTTTCCAAAAATAATTCGGTTTCCCAGAGGAAATCCATTGCAATGGCAGACCATTAAAAAAGTAAGATTGTTATTCTTGTAGATAAAGCATAATACCTTACATTGTAAGGCTTACAATGACTCATATTCAAATGTCTTGATTTATTATTTTGTACTAGTCAAAGATGTACCTAGTGTAATCTACTAACTTTTACAAAACGGTTCTCCAATAAAAATTAATTAAAATTTTTTTCCATAATTAAAGTTAATGCCATTTTTATTATTAACATTAAAAAAAAAAAATTGCCCTGTATGCTTGTTTATTTATACAAACAAATTTATTGATTTCAGGTGACGCCATTAACAATATTATTTATATTAATGCTTTCGACAAACAACTATTGCCTGAAATTTTTAGGCGTCACGTTTTATTACGTTGGAAGATCCCTTACAACAGTATTTAACGTCATACTATCTTATTTAATTTTAGGTAAAGAGTAATACATTATCATTGTAATTTTAATCGTTTTATAATTATATTCGTCACCACGTGCGATTAATATTTTTAATTTTCATTGTTTCAGGTGAAAAAACGTCCATGAGCTGCCTTGTTTGTTGTTTCGTAATAACGAGTGGGTTTATTTTGGGTATTGATCAAGAAAATCTCGCAGGTAATAATTAGCAATCACAAATAACTAGCGCCTGGCATTTTACTATTCTTCTTAACCTCATTCCAAATATTGTCGCTGGCCTATGCTGCAGTTTACCCCAATGTCCAAAATTAAATTATTATTTAATTTAACCAATGAATTAAGACGTTGTTTAAAATTTTAACTTCCATCGAACTATTACTATGCTTTTCTTTTTAGCTTTCCACGTTAGATTTAAGCTATGACAGTCATAATTTTTCATGAACTTATTTGGTAAAAAAGAACTCGTTCCATAAACACGTTCATTTTTTACGCATTCTTTCCAAGCACTGATTTCTAATCATCTTTTTTTATTAACATGAGACAGAAACAAATAATATTCATATATTTTTTTTTTTAAACTTTTTTTTATTAATTTTGCTTTTTGCCACAAACTTATGTATTAATAATTGTACCGATTTGCAGATCAATTCCGGTTTTATTTCTAATGCTTAAGTTAATAATTTTTTAATTGTTTTAGGTTCGTTTTCGGCAGTCGGAACAGTATTTGGCGTTCTAAGTTCCTTTTCGATGGCTTGTTATTCCATACAAATAAACAGATTATTGCCCGACTTGAACAACCAAATTTGGTTACTTACCTACTACAACAATGTGTATGCCACCGTGTTGTTTTTACCGTTATTAACGCTCGAAGCCAAGGAAATCAGCGACTACAGTAAACTGATGAGCCGTAACTTTGTGCTGTTGATGATTGTCGGTGGAGTGTGTGCTCTATTGGTCAGCTATGTAACAGCTCTTCAAGTGCAAGTGAGTGTGTGATTTACTCATTAATTATTCGTGAAAGTAATGTGCTATTATTTTTTTTTGTGAATTTCCTACAAGGTGACATCGCCATTGACGCACAATATTTCGGGTACAGCCAAAGCGTGTTTCCAGACTGTGTTGGCTTCGTATGTGTACCACGAATGGAAGTCCACTCTGTGGTGGTTGTCGAACATTATCGTGCTCGGAGGAAGTGCCGCATACACTGTGGTGCGCAATCTAGAAATGGGACAGAATCAATAATTTTTGTCTTAATGGTTTTACTGGTTGTGTATAAAAAAACTTCCAAGCTATCGACATTTTTTATTTTAACATGGCAATATATTATATGTATATATTGTTTCTTCACTACGTGTGTTTTAAAAATTACTTGGAAAAAATAATAATCAAATTCTGATGAAATGTTTTAATGTATTTGGAAGTTATGTAATTGACCATATACTAAAACTATATTAGATTAGCCTTAAATATCTACAATTTAGTAGTTAGAGGCAATTTTTTTTTAAAGAGGCTTGCCTAATAAATAAATTATGAAACTATGTAAAAATATCCAGAGCAAAAATTGTTCTAGGAAAAATATGTCCCAAATATTTTAAACGTAAACGTATGTGGATCCTTTGAGCGTTATACTCGAAGAGGACGACTTTTAGTTCGTTAACGCTGAAGATCCAGAAAACTGGGTTTTAAAATTAAAGATTCTTTTAAGTACTTTTATGTACTATTCTTTTTATGTACTTCTTGTTATTATACAACTTAATAAAATAAATATATTGTAATACGATATGTACAACATATCAAATTTCTGGATATTATTTTAGTGTTTTCATAATATCTGGCCTAAAACAATTCATAGGAATATGACCTCTTAAATTATTGAATATATTATTCAGTTCTAGTTTGAACGTTGTGAACATATATGCCCCCAACCCCTCCCTCACACCCATCCTTTAAAAAAATGTATTTATGTGGTTTGTGCAATCAGCGATTTATTTATGCTATATACCTACTTTTGTTTGAAATAAAGATATGGAGATAATTGTATTAAAACTTAAGTAAATAGGTGTACAAGATAGAGAGCATTGAAAGCATTTATTCAGGATAATTTGGTTGGCAAGTCTAATAATGAATCATATTTTCTTTAACAGCTGGGCCTGTGCACAATACCATCTTTCTTAACATATCTTAACTGAACCACAAAGCATATAATTTCCCCTTGAGCCACAAATATAACATAGTTTAATTGCCTGTGGTCCACTAAAAGACAAATTAATAGTAAAGAATAAGCGTGTAAAATTATGTTACTTATCTAGTTGGAATTTTCTTTTATGATAATTTGGACAAAAATAAATTTTAGCATTACAATCAGAATGTCGTTCTAATAATTCAGCAGCATAAACGTTTGGGTCATTTTCCCATTAAGCATCTTCGTGACTATATTTTTTCAGAATAAGGTTCTCTCCATTGTATTTTTTTCCTCGCGATTTAAGAGTATTTTTTTATTCTCAAAAGATAAATATAATTTTATTACTTAAATATATTTTTGATTTTATGCTTATAAAAATAAAAACTATGAAGTATATTTTGTTTTAAACCCCTTCACTTTAAATCTTCTCAAATAACTAGGTCGTATAAGCGGTAAATTAATAATAGAAATGATTTTGAAAGAAAAATTAAAAAAGTAAGCGGAACAGGTCTAAAAAACAAATTGATTGGCCTAATATGAAACCTAACAAATAAAACATGCAGTTTCACTTTGAATTATCACCCATCACACATTTTATTTAAACTTTTTTTTTATAACTGTTATATACCCAAAACCAACACTTTACACTGAAGAATACGTAATAAAGGTCGAAGATTTCATAATGTCAGGAATTTGCAATAGGCCATCTTTTCTGACTTTACCTAATGTCACAAATTGCCCGTGCATTTATTATATTATCCTAAATACCCCATGAAAGTACTTGGCATTAATCTTTAACGATAATTCTAATTTTTATCTATTAACTAACCATACATTTATAAGTCTTAAATTTAATCTTTGTACAGTTAACGTTTCAATTAAGGAAATTCATCCAGTACAATTATGGAACATCAATTACTTTCAAAGTACAAAGTGGTAGGCCCAGCTACAAAAATTCGTTGATAGGATGCACAGGGTCAACTAAGTCGTTTATTTTTTCATTTTTGTAAAGTCTTATCATCAGGACCGAAATAATTATAACTGTATGGACCCGAGAAAACGTAGACGGGAATTTAAATCTATCCAATGGTTGCATTATGCATAGCAAACGAACAAATTGTTTGTCGCTTTAGCTTGACGGACTTAGGAAATTTCGAAACTCACCTATTGTCAGCAGCGCACTTTTTGGTAAATCCAGATAGCGCCTCTTTAGCGATACTATCTTTGGCAACTGGTATGAGTAATCCACACGCATTATTAAAATTTCCTAGTATACCAATCAAATTTAAACCCCTAGACATTACCTACACCGCAAACAACTAGGTACCATCCGACATCCAGTGAATAAAGCCTAGACCAATAGGTGTGGTGCGACCAACACTTAGAAGTTCAATCACTTTAGGAGTAAAAGCAGTTAATAACCATTAACTGAAATAAAACTAAAAAATAAAAAAAACAAATTAGCCTTAGGTACATGCTCAATTCTTTGCTAATCAACCAAACTTCTAATGGAACATTTTTTTTTCTATACTTTAGTTTTTAGTTTTTTTTTATTAACCCTGTATGTAATCGCTAACTTATTATAATATTATGTTATACTATATCAGTCTTATATATCTGTAAAATGTTTATTATAATTTCATGTATATTCATATTATATGTATAATTTTACCATGTTTTAGAATATACCATATTTGTTGGAGTGGATTTAGACAAAATAAGAATTAATACAAGTTGTTGTATAGTAATAATGATAAAGTAATATTTCACTACGACTAATACAATAAAATAATAAATAAAGACTTGTTATACACAGTTAGCTTACACGAATATTATGTGAAAAAGTCAGTGAATGAGATATCCCACGACCGAAGCAGCTAAGTACTCCGATTCTGCGGTTGAAAAGGCTACCGTTTATTGTCTATATAATGTCTATTACATAATCAACGCTTAGACATAATTTACATAAGATTTTCTCACATTTACGAAAAAAACTATTAATTGCAAGAATGATGAATTTTTATATTCAAAATTAGATTTTTACCATTTTTGACAGGTGTATCTTATTTAATTTGTGGTTCCACTGTATTACAAGGTTTGCACTTTCGCCCGGGACTTGGCACGAAATTGGCTTTAGTTTGAATATGATAATTAAACATACTATAAGGTACACAATATTTTCTAAATAACCGTTTTCATAATTACTATTATTATTTTTTGGCTGTTAATGTGGACAGGCTATACAGATTTAGCTCTCTTAACTAAATTTCAAGTAATAGTCCCAGTCTTAACCTTATATCCTTTAAAATCGATGAATTTACTTATGTTTCATCTTAACTTACGGAGTGCTGTCACTTTTTTTTAAACAGTCAAATTAGTTCCAATTTGTATGAAATAGTGTTTAGCTAGAGTATTATCAATAATGCAGTGAAAATAAAGAAACAAAAATAAAATCAACCCCATTTTCTAAGTGAGGTAGAAAGTTTTCCTTTTTATAAGATTAGTTTTTGGACATAAGGTCTGCAAATTAGACTGGAGATTAATCTGTAGCGTGGCTATGATAAACTTATTTAGTTTTCTTGGATATCTATAGTCAAAACTTTTTTATTTATTAAAGAAGATCCCAAAAAAGAAAGAAATCGCACTCGGGCCGTATTAAGATTTATTGTTTATTATATCCACGTATTAGTGAGATGTTGTATAGTCTGTCAACCCTTCCCAATAAACAGCTCAACTAGCATCTAACCATCTAGGTAACATATTTTTCTTAACTATATAATGTGGTTAATGTGTAAAAAATGGTATGTATTTTAATTCTATGTAAAATAATAACTAATGTTATAAATGTATTTTTTTATTAATAATACAAAACAAATAACATATTTCAGTACAATAATAATACATGCAATTCATGTATATATTGTGACACAACATTAATGGCATAGTTATTAAACATTAATAAAGAACAAAGGAGTGATAATTAATACAACAACGGTTGGAATTTTCACAAAACAATAACACGGGCGCAATTAAAAAATAAATACAAAAAGAAATTTGGTAACACACATTTTGATCTTTTATCAATACATTTTGTGATCGTAAGCATAAGTCCCGTTCGGGCTAAAGCTGTCGTAAGTTTTGATCTAAAAAACAAATTAATTATTAGTTGCCCGTGTTTTAACAGTAGAATTTTTTTTTTAATTAGTTCACATTAGTTTACACTATAGCTGCCTACTTACTTTAGTTGATAATGTTTATTAAATTCATCTTGGATATCTATTTTAACAATGCTCTGCTCGTTCAATAGGTAATCCTTATACATTTTACCAGTGGAATCGCGAGTTCTCATGCACATTGAAAGTGTGTCTATTGTTATTTTTTCTTCTTGCATTTTACATTTAAACCTACGGTTATTACAAGAATAGAATTAAGTATAATATGTAATTTTATTAGTCTTGAAAATCATACATTACTATAATATGTGACGCGCGCTAAAAAAAAAGACACAATAATCTTTTTCTAACACTCAAAAGTAGTTTTTAATTATATTTATTTAATCATTCAAAATAAAGAAGACGAGATACCTCCTTCCTGTTTATTGAGGAATTAGGAGTAGGCAATTAAACAAAAAAAATGAATTTAAAGCTTAAACTGTAATAATCAGTTATCAGTACATAACAGTGGTGTCTCTACATTTTCTTCTTTTACCTGACTCCATTATATAAATATTACCCTTATGGCCGGACTAAAAAAGCTGTTTCCAAAATGTGGGAAAGATAGAAGAAAAACTATTCGATCAATCGATTTGCTTTGGTATTTTTTAAAAACAGTATAAATAAATGCACCATACGAACTACTGTTTTATAAAAAAAAAAAAACATACATTTTCCCTTGTCAAATGTACTTAATTTTTTACAATTTCTGTTTCAGTTATCTAATACCGATTGCTTAGCTTTTTATATTATGTTTAATAAAAAAATTAATGCTTAACAACTTTTACGGTTGGCTTAATCGTTGACGGAGCAATAATGTTAATATAGATAGGTACCAACAACTCTGACAAAAGCGATTGTTTTTTCAAACAATTTTTCTATTATCTATTTTGTGCGCACAATTTCTCAAAATTATATAAGTATTTTTCTTAAAGATTCCTACTCCAGGATTCTCTGTTAAACTGGTTTAATTTGTTAGGTATAAAGATACAATAATTATAGCTTCGTCATTTGTTTGAGTGTAGTGTTTTTTTGTGAAAAGAAAGCTTCACTCTAGGCCTTTTCTTTGCACGCGTCACGTCACTTCATACATACTTATTATGAAGGTAATGTGATAACATAGTAAGATATTACATACTTTTCATATTGTTTTTGGCCCATAGTAAATTTATACTGATGTGTTGATATATTTTCACGTAAACTTGAATTATATTTCTCGAAAAAGTCAATTTTTTTATTAAGTTCGTTAATGGCGTCAACTCTTAGTATCTAAAACATGAACCATTTAACATTAAAAAACAGGCTTTTGAGAATGACATGAATAATTAATGTACTGAGAATTGCTAATAGAATTATAACGTGTTCGTGTGCAATTCAATTATTATTATGAACTAGTGTTATAAAATCTAATTTATGAATTGCAGATTATACCTCATATGTTTTATAGTAAAGTACTGTTGTTAAGGTGAGTTAATTAAAAGGACAACACTTTTAAACTTTTAACAAAATAATTGTACTTAATTTATTACTTTTATCGTGTTCTGTGTGTCAAGGTCTTGAACAGCTGATGTTTCATTGGTAACAAATTGAATGCGATATTCTAAATGCTTGTTTGATGTGCATAACTCGTCTAACTCCTGAAAGATTGTTAATAAATAAAATGCATTTGAATTCAGGAAAAAGGTTTTGTATAAATGACAATAGTTGAGATTTGAAGTAGAAGACCCAAAAAAATACCGTTAAATGTTAATCGTTATTTAAAAGAGGCAAATGTATAGGGTAACATTTGCTACTATTTGTCCTGTACCTACGAGGTATGGATACATTTAAATTAGTGTCAGATCAAGATTAGGCAAATGAACTTACCTTTTTTACATTTCTCAAATCGCTGCAGACTGTCTCGAATGTATTTTGTAGATTTTTATTTTCTAAGACTAATGCGTTCAAACGTTGTTCGTCGTTTTCTCTTAAAACTTTCAATGCGTTCAACTTTAGTTTAAGATTTTTCTAAAACAAAATTTATCATAATTATGAACCCATATTCTCATATGGGCAGGTCGAATCTTTATTAAACATTTTTTTTTTAAATACTGTTTTTCAATATAATAAAATAGGTACTTACTTACTTATACGATGTAATATTAAGACAATTTTGTTATCACTTTATTTTACTTTTTTATTATTTTTTGAACATTGATAATACAGGGTGTTTCAAAAAGAACGGTGGGGTTTCAAACGGCTGTAGGTTGTGAAGTATTGGATTGACTGCCAGTAGAGCAGCGCTGTAGGTCAAATACTTCACAACCTACAGCCGTTTGAAAAGCCACCAATCTTATTGATGAAACAGCCTGTATAGTAAAAAAAAAAAATAATGTATACCTATACGATAATTATATTTGATGAAATTACCTCTTCGTCCTGATTACAACATTGTTGGAAAGTCTGCATTAACGGGCGCATTAGATTTTGATCACGTTCTTCGGCGTTCATCGATTTCCTTCGTGCGCAATGCGATTTTCCAGAAGTGTTAGGGCGAGATGATTTAAATGGCGACGAATTAGTTCTAAACAAAGGTCAAAATTAAACCAAAAGGGTTTTCTTTGAAAAATAATATTGCCTAATTTAAATGGCAGTGTAAACAAACTATCAGGTAACCGGTAATTTTTTTATTTAATTAATATTATAGTTGCTATATGTTATACTACATAGGTACCATGACTTGAAGTAGGTATTGTTTGTGTCGGGTATGCTTTTTTATTAAAGGTTTAACAAAACGATGAAGCCAGAATTTCTACTTTTAATTTTTGTCTACCATTTCATAATTTACTTAAATACGTGTAACCTAAGATGGCTTATGAGCTATACAGTGAATATGTACCTAGGTATTATGATCATATTATTTATTAGGTAAACGAGTATTGAATTTATGGTTAGTATACATAACTTTTTAGTCGAAATATTAAGTTTTTCTAGTTTTACTTACGCTTGTACGATACTTGACGAGATATTTTCCAAACCGGCTTTTGAATATTCTTGTTGCCAAAATATCTGATCAATTTTCACTGGACAACCAACACTGTATGATCGTCTGTGTTTCGGTTTTCTTGTAACCATACTTGCATCCGAATCTAAATCCATTCCGGCGTGACTGAATTTTTACTAAGCGTAGGCAAAAAAATATTTTCAAATCGTTTGGACAAATAACAAAATCAATTAACACGAAAGACTTAGAAATTGTCTGCATGTAACTAATGGATTGAAAAAAACCATAGAAACAGCTGCCAGCATCATAGATACGTAGGAACTGTTAATATATGTATCATTCACCATGGTTACACTGTAGGCGAGTATAAAATAATATCATAGATTAAATATACAATCTATGGTTGTATGGTATATTTAACCTAGTATGGTTCTACTAAAAAATCAAAGGAAAATCCAAAATTGTGTTCTTTAATTTTATACAGATAGGAAGTATAAATAATTTGTATGTTTTGCATAATATAATAGCCAAACAAAACATATTCTAACGACTTAAACATATATTACAATATAGTTGTAGCTTATAATATTATGTGTTGTAAAACATTGTACATATACAAAATCCCTTAAACATAAACCACAACAAGCCATTGATTGATCTATAACTATTTGTTTAGTATCATTTAAGTTACATATAACAATCGGCAAAGCTAACTGATAATTTTTGGTTTTTGATTAAAAAAAATTGATGTTTTCAGAGAATCTTACTTGATAACTTATTTTTGTCCATCTTCAGAACGACAGCACCGTTCCACTGTCGTCACTTTGCTTATGACGATTATTTTAATATTGCATTGGTCTCACTTAAAATTTAAACTATATGGTATTATTATTGTTTGTTGATGTACATCAAAGTTCGTTTAAAGGTATTTATGCAATTTACACAAATTGCAAATACCCATCTTCTAGTAATACTTCCTTAAATGTTCATTCATCTTATGAATATTATAAATATACTGGATTAAATGCAGGTCTATTATTAAAATCTTGATTTTCTAATACTCATTATTCTGTTTGAAACAAAGTGTGGGTTCATATTCATCTATAATGGTAGTAGGTATACAATAGGTTGTAAAAAGTAATTTTGTCATATAGTCAGATAGGTAGCTGTTAATATAATGAATAAATCCAAATTAGTTTAATAGGCACCTACCTATCAGCAGTTTCTGGTTTTAATGTCTTGGTGATTTCAATAATAAAACGTCTATGATGGTTTTACAAAAATCTTTTATATTTTGTATAATATATTATAGATGATTAAAAGAAAATGGTTGGGATTATATTCAAGCTGTTAACTCGGACCAAGTGTATTCCACTTAAGACTTTTATTCGTTAATACATTTAAACATATTATTTACAAGAATTCCAATAAAATACACTTTTCTTTTAAAACAATAACAATACATTTAGAAACCTTTATGCCAAAATAGGTTATACATAAAAATCAGAAATTGATAATGTAACCTAATAGAAAATAAACATATAATTAAAAATTAAATCAACCACTCGTTTGTTATTCCTATCTGGAATATAATAAAAATAAAGTATCTTAATAATTGAGACGTCCAGATTACAAAAAAAAAAAACCACTTATTGTTGAGTTTTGTAATCGCTTACAATCGGACACACAACAATAAATAACAAATTTAGTCCGCTCCAAGCTTCTCCATGTCGTCGACGTTTTCAGTATTCAAGCACACAATTGGTTTTGAGAAGTGGGCTTCTATTCGTTTCATTATGATCAAGTCGTTACCTCCGTTCAATAGATTAATCGCAATGCCTCTCTTGCCGAAACGACCAGTACGACCGATTCTGTGCAAGTATGTGTCGTAATCCGGTTCACGGTCAACATTCATGGGCAAGTCGAAATTAATAACAATTGTCACTTGTTCAATATCAATTCCTGAACACAAATGTGATTATGAAAAGCGGCAATATATTTTTTAAAAATAATTTACATGAAAAATGTTTACCTCTAGACATTACGTTGGTAGTGATTAGAACTTTCTGTTTGCCTTCGCGGAAGTCATCCAGCACGACAATTCTTTCTTGCACAGTGAGTTCCCCGGTCAATAACGTTACAGCGTGTCCTTGGTCGGTCATTTGTTTCGCTAGCCACAAAGCCATTTTTTTTGTCTGCAAAAAAAAATAAAAATTTTTTATTACTCTATGTTCATTTTGATATGCATAGCTGACAATAAATTAGTATGATAATTTATTTATTTATTTATTATTACAATCCTAGCTGGATTAAGAGGTGGCTAAGAGGGATATAAGGCTTCTAAAGGAAATGGGGCCCCAGAAAAATGTTGGAACTGTAATTTTTTTAAATTACAAAGATATAATTTAAGGGTCAAACTGGGCGGTTTTGTCATTTGGAATTTGTAAGAGCATTATTTATCAATAATGGCAATAATATTCTTAGTTGGTTGGAAAACATTAACAATGGTATATCGAAGGAATTTTTTAATTAAAAATAATTTGCTGAATGTTTTGACAGGTCGATAATGGTTTTGAATAAACTGTTTTAAGTTCAAAATTAAAGAAGGGTCGGAGTGTAGAGTATTTTTATCTTTGCACATACTCAACAGCACTCCTACCTTCCGTCTTAAACTTTGAACTTTTATAACTTTTTATACATTTTTTTAAAACTATTGATTTAAAATCGGTTATCGAGAAGTCAAAATAAGTTTAAAAATTAGTATGAATTTAGATCTAGATAGGAATAATTATAACACATATTATTTCATATTTCCTAAAACTCTGCAGACAACCTGTTCTAACGAACAGAAAATAAAGCGAATTACAATTCTAAGCCCATTTTCGACTTTACATCGATATTTAACACATAACATCCATAGATTCAAACAAATTACAAAATAGTTTCATTATCATAGACTAAGACAGGCCAACCACCCTAGACGTATACACTCCCATTATATAATTTTATGCGCTTAAAATATAGATTATATACAGCTAGATAAGTACTTTTATATTTTTGTACTTTTTTAATACTTTTATAGATTTTTGTAATTTTACCATTTACAGATTTACACCAAACAGTTAATTTAAAAGTTATTTTATAATTTTCAGTTAACTAGACACTACTGTTTTGCTTTTTTTTTTTTATTAAAAGAGAAATAATTTAATATTTTTAATATTCAGTAAGTGAGTCAAGTGAAACAATAAATATTTGAATGTTGCAGTAATCAATTAAAGACTCTAGGCTACAACAGCATAACACAGGAAATGTTAGTAATAATACAGAGCAATCGGAGGCGTTTAAAGTTTAGAATCACAAGAAAATTCTAATAAAGTTGATCAAAAAGGTAATGAAAAACCAGGTAAATGTTTCCATGGTGATTTACAAGGTCACTGCAAAAAGTATTCCCTGTTTAATAAGTATTTGTAATTTTTTATTTTATTTTGTTTTGCATTCATAATCTTATCTGTGTTTTATAAAGGGGTGCAATTAATTAAGTATGTAAATATTTCTTAAATGTGAAAAAAAAACAAACATAAACTAAGAGATACTCTTTGAAAACACTATTTAATAAAAATTATATTCATTGAATTTTAAATGAAGCTGATATAGTAGATTGTATAGTAATGTATTTTTAGAGTCACCTATCATATGTTGCTTATGATGGATACAGATTAGAAAGAATGTTTTTTTAATCAAGATTAGTGTATTAAAAAAAAAAACCATTTTTTTCAAAATAATTTTTATAACAAGTAGGTATTATTTTCTCGTTCGTTGAGAATAATAATATTATGACTGTCAAATTTGCATTAACAAATAATAAATGTTATTATGAAAATAGATAAGAAATTAATAACAGAGAAAAACTGTTGAAAATACTTAACACAAATTTTCATCGACAGACACCTTAATAATTTTAAAAGTGAGTCAACCTATTAGTCTATTGTTCCTAAATGAAATACAGGATAACGGAAAAAAAAAATTAGATGAATTTAAAGTAAATTCAATAATACAACTATAGTTACTAGGTAACCAGTCATCAATGTTTCATTTCTTTTATATTTGAGTGTTTTTGATTAAACTCTAATGCTCCAATAGAATCTCTTTAGGTACAAACTAGTAGAATTCAAAAACTGTGGTCATTTTAGACTGTGCAGGTAATGTTATGTTATTATGTTATTATATTATTATTATTATGTTATTATGTTGTTATATCTAGGAGTTAATTTACCAAATATTGCTAATAATTAATCGACTACGACTTACTTGGCAAAATATCATGGCTTGTCCTATGGTTACCCCACCATAAATGTTTACTAATGCATTATATTTATCTTCCTTACTGTTACAGATGACATAATATTGTCTGATATTTTCTAACGTTTCTTCTTCCCTTCTCAATCTTATAATGACCGACATCGGAGCAATAGCATTAGCAAATCTCATGACATCATCAGTATATGTAGCCGAGAAGAACATCATTTGACAAGTTTTTGGCAAAATTCTGAAGCAACATATTAAAAAAACCAATATTAAATATTAATCTCCAAATTTCAAGATTGTTGTTGTCACCATTACTTTCTAATGCGGAAACTTTGATCCTGATGTCCTTGAGTGTCTACCATAATATCAGCTTCGTCCAAAACAAATACTTTTATTTGCGCCGGATCGAAAAACTTGTATTTCGTAACCCAATCTAATACTTTTCCAGGTGTACCAACAACAATTTGCTCAGTTAATTTTGAACCCCTTTTAACTGAAAATTGTTTTATTCAAAATTACAGGTATACCATAGAATAATCATAAAAAAAAAATTTACTTTCTTCGCCCCGAACAGCATATCTCAGTCTTATATTTGGACAATAAGTGGACATCTTCGCTGCAACTTCACCAGTTTGGATTGCCAACTCATAAGTGGGAGATAGACAAATCACCTAGTGCAAGTTAATTGAGCATCATAAATAATATTAAGGGTATTGAAAACGGTTATTTACTGTATACGTCTGCACTTATACACAACATAGAAATTTAAAGTTCTCTTTAGTTGAATGTGCCGATAAAGCATTTTAAAAATGGATTTGAATTTCTCTCATCATCCTTATTGGAAAATGACTTTACCACTATGTTTTCATTCGTTAAATTTATATTCAAAAAGAGATGACGAGGAATCGAAACAGTTTTTATCGTAGCAGTAAATTTTAAATGATCATAAAATTACTAGATCGATCACTTTGTTAAAAAAAAAGACAGAAATTGACTTTCTCAAACTAAAGAACTAAAAATACGACAACTATAAAAATCTACTACTCAAATGAGTCCTAAATATTCGCAACTGCAATTTAATGTGTGAAAATAAAGTACATCAACTATTACAATAACTAGTCATGTGGTATTATATTATAAAGTATGAATTACTTGAGGATGTTGATTATCTGGATCCACTCTACTCAACATGGCTAGTACAAACGCTGCTGTTTTACCGGTACCAGATTGTGACTGGGCAATTAAATTTTGAGGCCTAATAAAATATTATAATTATTAAAACTTAGGTTTAATAAAATTAAAATACTTTACCACTTGTTTAGCATTAACATATTTTAAATTAATAATATTTAAATAAGTATTGTAAAAAAAATACAAACAACCAATCAATTAATTTATGTGTAAGAAAATACAAATGGTTTTTATTTTCTTAAAAAAAAAAAAAATGTACATAACTAATATATTTTAGGTTTTTCAAATTTAAGGACCACCCTAATAAGTATATATATATATATATATATATATTTTAAATCTATTGATTAAAAAACCTAAAATATCGCATTTAATCATTTAAATCCGGGCTTAAATTTAACAGTTAAATTATATTTTTAAAAATAAGTTATTCTTAATGTTTTTTATTTTAAAACAGTTTCATTTACTTATATATAAAAATATTTTGTTAATAACTTTTGAAATTTAAATTTTTATATAAACATTATTAAATATATTTGTTATAATATAATGTAACTTAAAAGAAAAATTTCAACTGTTCCATGACCCTCCAATTCTAATAAATATAGGTATTTTTTTAATTTAACACAAAAATGAATATACTATTTATCTGATTACAATATTATTTATAAACTAATTTATTTACGGATTTGCCAAAAGCAGAGGTAGTGCTGTTTCTTGTATCTTGGATGGAGCATTGTATCCCATTTCATAAACTCCTTTTAACAGACTTGGATGACTGAAAAACACAAAAATATGTGTGTTAATAATATATTGATCAGGATTGTACCATAAAACAAATTATAAAAAAGCAAAATGTTTTTTTTTTTAATAAGTAATTAATGATTTTTAATATAAACTTACTAATGTATTTTTTTTTAAAAACAAAACTGTGTTTGTCACAGAGTACTTGGATTCCGGATGTCGATCCGTGTGCTTTGTTACAATATTATGTATAAATTACTAATTGCATACAAGAATTATGACAATAAAACTAAATTTTTTAGGAGATTAGTAATAGAAACAGTCTAGACAATACTGGAAAAGAGCTAGTTACAAAAATAAATGACAAGTCCTGTTTTTTTACTCAGGTCATACTGCATTTAAGGTAGAGAAACAGAATTTGGTATTAATTTAATTTAATCAATAATTGGACATGTACCAACATAATATATTGTATCTTTCTATTCCATACAATCTTGGCTTATTCAACCTAAATATTAATAGACATTTAGGAATTGAGAATTTCATTAACTAAATAACAGCCTTTGAGATAGCTATAATGCTCATGCGTGGGGACTTAGCTGGGTTTGAAAAATAAAAGAATACGATTGTTAGAGATATTGTTGATGGTTAGATACATAGACATTTCGAACAAATTAAGTTGTCCCAAACTAGTACAGTACGGTGTCACATACCACTGCATATTTTGTATCATATCTTATACAATATTGATAATATAATTTGGAAGTAAAGTATAGTTCTCTATGGAGGTATTATTCATAAAATAAAATAGGTTTTTGAGTTTATATTCCTTATCATAACGTGTTTTTGTTGATTTAAAATTTTTTGCTGTATATCACACTCACTGTTCCATGTGCGTAACTTTTTTTCTTATAGATAAATTTAAATTGTATTATCTAAAAAATGCAAATTTAAATTTTTTAAATTTAGTTCTACGTTATGTCTTTAACTATTATGTATAGGTTTGAATATAAACAAGTTAGTCCGCTAAATGAAAACATTAAAACATTCTTTATATACTGTAATAAAATTGATACTCTTGAGACCAAAAATTAAATAACAAATTTAGTTTTGTTAAAAATTAACATGACTTAAATAAAATAAAAACTCATCTTATGAAAGTTACAAAAAGTGAGATTAGCCCTTTTAGACTCCAGCCACAGAATTTTATTGATATAATAATTATTGTGTAAAAAAGAAGGTTTAGAATGATTTGTCTATAATTGTAATATGTATGCATGGCATTATTTAAATACCGGATCTAAAACGGTCGAAATATCGTCATCAAATGAAGCGATGTGTCAAACCGCGTTGTACCGGTAATGTTTTTTTTTTTTTCACTGTACCAGTTACGGGTTATATTAAGTGTTCTAATAATCTAATTTGTTATAAAAAAAAAGTTACTTTTTTTTATAAATAAGTCGAGTAACCTACTTTGAGTACTCGGGGGGGCAACGATAACCGACAAAGTTCAACAAGCGAGAGAGAGCAAACGTACGGGGGAAGTAACGACAAAAACAGTTAGATTTTTACCGTAAAACTAAACGGCGCGATAATATTTATTTCAATGATAATATCTTACAGTTTGAGAAGTTCGAAAGACTTGACGGAGTACAATGGTGAATTGGGATCGCGCCTTTGTATTTCGATATCATGTTTGGACGTGACAAGGCCGGTGCGCACAATCTTTTGTAACAGCGACTTTTCGGCGGCCGGTAGATCCCATTCTTCGTTGTTGTTGAGCGATTTCCTGCTGCTGCTGTAGACAGTATTATACTCCATCGCAATGGGACACATAGCGAACACAGCACAGAAGAGGAGTAAACGCGAGAATATATATTTTTTTTAATTATATAATAAGTAGATAATAAAACAGCACTTTTATCGTTTGACAAACGACCGGCGACACTTCGGAGTTCGGACACTTTGTCGGGGAAATTGACCACGGAGCCATCCGGCCGTTCTCATTGGTCGCTGGTAATTTTGATTTTCGAATAATAACGGGGGACCGCCGATAAGTATAATTATCCATAACTGACACCGTGTGGCTAACCGCGCTCCAAGCGGACAACGCGCTCACTACAACAGGGCTACTAAAATATTCTACATTTTTTGATACCAATTATTGATTGAAAATTGAACGCGCTTTATTTGTATTTTTTACAATAGTTCTTTAAATCTCAAGTTAATTTATTTTCTTGTGATACCGACGTTTACAGTGAATACTTTGACGTACAATGTTATTAAAAGTAAAACATATTTATTTTGCTCTCCTGAACAATTTCAATTTTGTGATTTAAAAAACAAGTGAGCATACAAAGAAATCGATTTATCGTGTATTAATAATTTAATACAAGTAAATAATATTGTAGAATTTATTGTGATTATTCGACGCAGGTCCCGATTTAGACATTTTGAACTTCAACATTTTTCTATATTTACTATTTTATTACCACTACTAGGAACCACTCAAAAGTGTAATAATATCGAATTGTTATGAAAGGATAGCTAAAGACATATTATTAAGAGGAACGGAAAGCGTCAAATTTGTTTACAAACAAAGACTGAAACGCAAAGTCACTTTCTGAAGTGTCTACCGAACCGATTTTAACAATTTGTTATTATTAAATAGTTTAACATCTCCTCTATGGAATGTTAGAAGGTTGATTTTTTATTTTTGTTTTGAAACCAATTTTTGTAAGCATATATATTTTAACTTCCTTATAGTTTTTCCTAATAAATCTAACTAGTTTTCTAATTGCTAATACAAAAATCGGCCTTTTAGTCCTCATAGAAAAAATAGTAAACTTCACATAAACCAAAAAATTGAAATCCGTCCATTAGACACCTAAGCCAGTAAAAGAGGCTAGACTTCACAAAAATCATTTTTTATAAAACTTTCGGCATAACTTGGAGAAAAATAACTTTTAATTATTATAACTAGGAAAACTTACCTATATTTTTTCACATTAATATTAGCCGGCATATTAAAAATGGCTACTAGATTAATTTTTTGTCAAATATTGCCTATCCTTTGTCGCTTATAAATAGCGCTTTTTGTTCCTTTAAATTATTACCTTAACGGTACTTACTATACTTAAATTTTAATCCCAATTTTTAAAAAAAATTATAAAGCCACCCAGAAAGCGTATTAAAAAAACACCTGTGTGTTTTTTATATGTGAAATATCTTCTTAGCCTAATTTATAAACGCTGTTACTTTCTATAGCTATAAATCGTCCGACTTTTCACCCCTTTATACTTAGGACATTAGCCTCGTGTAATAATATCGATATTTTTCGCACAACTTTTACAATAATATAATTATAGATATCCCTCTAACATTCTACGTTTATAGTTTTTAACTGTATTTACACTGTTGTTATTTATTAAAACGAGTGTAATGCGGACTTTTATGCCTAATAGGAAATATACCCCCATTTATTAAGCAGTTATATACTAAATAACTAAGTGTAACTAGTATAGGCAATGAGTATTATGTTTTGGCCGTATGTCCTCCTGTTATCACTTCTCCTCCTATTGTTATCACTGATAAGAGAAGACCGTTTGTTTTCATAAAATATTATCACTAAAATCAAGGTGGATTTATAAATCCACCTTGACTAAAACACAGATTATATGAAAACAGATTGTTCACTCGGGCCTTTAACAATAGGATTGCAAATAAGGCTCTATGATTGGCCCGCCAAAATCAGTATGACCGACTGAAGGGAATTTGTTTTTAAACGTGTTCGCGGGCTTTCGCATTTGTTAAATAATTGAGTTAAACAGAATGTTTCTCTTGTATTTACCAAACATTTTATAAATATTAATAACCATAATGATAATAATAATAATTTAATAATATTATTCTTACAATTACAGTTGTTTTATATTATCTTACGCACTATATAGTATGACTTATCCAAGGGCAATAATTTTAATTTCAATAATAAATTACAGTTAATAAATAATAATACATTTAATAATAAGACATTTTAAAATTCCCAATAAGTAAAAATATAATGCGTTATAAACAATAAACATAACATATCCATACTTATTAATATACAATTTTAATTATTTCTAACATAGAGAAATAGTAAGCTGTCCACCATAGGGCATGACAACTGACAGAGCATTAATCAACTATGAATAGTATTGACACGCAGTATTTAATTACATTGTTATTGTAAAAATAATATCAATTCAAAAATAATAAACAAAAAATAATTATAAATAAAATAATACAAATTATTATAAAAAAGTATTAAACAAATAAAAGTATTGCATATTTATATACCTAGTTATACGTGTTTTAATATAACCAATTTTTTATTTACTCTAATTCTATAGGCTACTCAGATAAAAGTCGTGCCTTTAAAAGTATATTTGGCGTACAAAATGCGCATACGCGCCTGCTAATAGGTTAAAATAAATAAAAAATAATGAACATGAAATATATAGTAAAAATTAATAAATCACAAAGTTCACATAAATAAAATAGTATAATTGTTAGTAAAATAGTATAAAAAACTAAAGTGCCGAATTGTTTTCCGTTTAACATGTTACGGATACATATGAGTTCTAACAACTGACAAATTTTCAACTTAAAGGTCCCAAAATGATGGCTTAAAAACAAAAAAAACTTGTAACCATCCTAGGAGGTGGGAAATGGGAGTAATATAAATCCGACACCAGTCCATTTTTGGTCGTTTAAAAAAAATGTTTTGCCAGAACCATTTCCATTATTCTGAAAATGCAAACTGTATAAAAGACTTAGATGCTATTTTAAGTATTATGAATGAAAACAAATTTAAATATAAAAATATGTTTTAATAATTTTAATTTTTTTTGGTCAGAATAATAATGTCAACCAAAAGATCACCTTGTATAAACTACAGGTGATTCATCTGATGTAAGACATTCGTTTTTTCAGAAAATTAATTCCCTTAAAACTGTTTAAAAAATGTTAGTAATTGATTATTTATTGTTCATCAATCTGTTCATTTGCTATGAAAAAATGTATAAAATATATCATAAATTAAATATAAATTAGTAAATTACAGTCAATTAAAAATTACTAAATTGCCATGAAGTGTTTCTTTTTTTAGAATTCATTCACATTCCGACATAAGGTTAATTAATTCCCATTCCTCATTCCTTAAAACTAAATGTAATACATTCATGATTGCATTCCTCTAAAAAGGAATGAAATCCAATAAATGCAATCTTTCCAACACTGATATATATATATCAGTGTTAGTAATGAAATGTCTTTGAGATAATGATAGAGTGTTATCGACGGGATCAATATTATTACCGATATAACATTTATTATTTTTTTAACATTTAATATGATAAATACACAGATTATATGAAATAATCATATAATTTGTGATTATATGAAATTATATGAGATTATATGAAATAATCATATAATTTGTGGTAAATACAAGTTCGATAATTTAGTTCCGGCTGACATGGTCACACTGGTTTCGGCGGAGTGCTTATCAGCTCATTTTTTGTTTACATCGAGAGTGAACAATCTGTTTTCATATAATCTGTGACTAAAATGACTTCTTATCACTAAGATAACGCGTTATCTACACCGATAAGCTTCTCTAATCACTGATAAAGTACTCTTATCACGGTTGGGTGACCCACGAGGTTCAAGATGAGCGATGAGAAACTCAAAAAACCGGTGGATCCTAGCCTGACGATGATGTAGGTATAAAAGCAAAAAAATGGATCGAACGTGCATGATGTAGTATTTTCATAATATTCGATGTGAGTAAGATAGTCATTTGACAGAAAAAAACTTTTTTTTGTTTACAATAGTTGATAATTAATTACATTTTATTTTTATTGCTTACGTTCACATTGCAACTATTAAGACGATTCCAGCTTTTTGCTTTCCTACTCAATCATTTTTTTTCTATTAATAATTATCATTGACCGGGTGTAGACTTAAGTTCGGTCCTCTAGGGGCACAGAGGAAGATTATTTTGTTTTTAACCTAGTATCGAATTTATTTATTGATTTGTCCATAAAAATAACACAATTAATTTAAATTAAAAAAAAAATATTTGTAACAAGGAAGATCACCTAAAAAGGATCAAATAGTTAAACAATATTACCTCATTTTAATGATATGATTATATTAGATTAATTTAATAACACTAGTACGGCTAGAGCCTCAGCTATTTTCATAGTTTTAAAGGAATAAGTAAATAGTTTTGTTTGTCATTACTTTACACATTTACACGAAAGTCAAGACTGCTATAAAAAAAGTTGCTTTTGTGACTATATATTTTTTAGTTATTATTTTATTAAAATTGGCTAAATCTGGATTACATAAATAGGTACAATATGGGTATTTGTATAAAATTTACAATTAAGCTTCATCTCAGTAAAAAAAAAATCCATTTTCTTGCAAGCATGTGTTAATTCATTAAATTGTATATTTCTTTAAAATAACTCAGTACATAAAAAAATCGATGTTTTACCTAACCGGATATGACGTTAATAGTACAGCTACAGTGTCTCAAAAACAACAAATTGAAGGTAATTACATTTTTTAATTTATATAATGTAAATAAGTCAATAATAAAAATACTAAAATGATATGAGGGGCTGGGTGCAAGAAGGGCATTTTCTAGAAAAACGTATTTTGAGATAAACTAAGTTAAAGTTTCAAATGTATGACACTCTTTTGGATCTGCTCACATGGTTATACAATTTGTGTCATATGAAAGATCGAATCTTAAAGAAAATAATTATGTTTTTTTTTCTGTGTCCACTAAGTTTTAAATAAAAGAGATATTTAATCACGAAAATGCCCTTCTTGCATCAAACAGTAATTACCTATTCTATTTCAATTAAAATGATTAAAGAACTTGAATTTTATTAATTTATTCATAACTTTTGAATAATATGAACATAATATTAAATAAACAAATAAATAATAATAATTAAAAGTATACAAATAAAATTACAAATACAAATTTTACGTTTTATTACTTTTAATTTTAAATATTATGTTATTTCCTTAATGCTTAGTTTTCGAAATAAAATTTTCCGTGAAAATGACTTTCTTGCACCCAGCCCCTCGTATGTTACTTGGATAACATAACCCAAAAAATATTGTTATGTTATACATATTATAACGTTGAAAATTATATTATTTTAGATATTTTAACTTTACAAAATAAAACGAACAAAAGAAATTACTAAATTTGTTAGGATAATGTATCGTTTAAAACAATTGAAAACGAAGGATTTTTGCATATTCTAAAAACTATATGTCCACTATACAGGGTGTTCCAGCATGAAAGGTAAGTAATAGGTGATTGGACATCTGGGGGACCTCCAAATAAACCCTCCGTTTTCCATTTTTTCGATAAGTCAAAAATTGAAGATTACGACAGTTAAGTAAAAAAATAATGACTTAAAAAAAAAAAAAGATGCCCTGTTATTTAGTGCAAAAAGCTGACCTTAAAAGAGGAGTCACATTATTTTCAGTCCCTTTCGGCCCCTAACTCAAAAAATGATAAGACAAAAATGATTAGAGACCGGAGATAAAGGATAAGTGATAAAAGATAAATGCTAAGACATAATTGATTAGAGATAAAAGAAAAGGGATAATTGGTAAGAGATAAATAAGGAGAGATTAGAGAGAAATAATAAGAGATATGGGCTAAATGATAAGAGATTAGAGATACATAATTAGAAACAAGAGATAAGAAATAAATGATAAGATATTAGTGATAAGAGAAGAGTTAGGGCCTGAAAAAGACTGAAAATGATTCCTCTTTTAAGGTGAGCATTTTGCACTGAATAACATGGAATATATTTTTGTTTTTAGGTCATTATTTTTTTACATTTTAGTTTTTTTAGAATTCAACTATATAGGATGTTCACAAAGATTATATTTAATGTTGAAAAAATTGTTATCTCCGCAAATTGTTTCCAAGTATCTTTCTAGTTCTGCAATAACAATAGCATTATACTGTACTATTTCCTTGTTGAAGGAATTCTCCAAGTTCTGTCGTTTGGTCAAATAAAATATTCTAGTTTTCTTAGAACGTCAACTGAAAGTGTTTTTTTTTGCGATCAAACATTGATATTTGCACAAGTGCATTAGTTTTTGCTCTGATGTGGAACTAACAGGGTATTGTTTTTCACAGTGTTTGTGTGTTAAAAATTGCAAACATTCTTCATAATCGATAAAAATGACCCAATAATAATAGTGGCGTTAATCGCTTTCCGAAAAATAATTTTTAGAGGTATTCTTTAGTATAATAAATTTTTAGATAAGAATACTTAAATGTATTTGGAATTATTATTTTCATACCGAGGTTTGGAAAATTATCAAGGAAACCGTAGCTTTCTATTTGAAAAAGCATAGCCTTTTTTGGATGGTGATTATTACATTGAAATACATATATAGACTTGTGTAAGGTGTCTTTATTGAAAAGTGTAACTTTTTGTGGTGAAAAGTATTTTATTTACTTTCATGTTCCACAAATGTTTTTCTGGTTTTTAAAAACAATAATCCATTTAATATAGGGCACTAATTTTCTCGGAAAATAATTAAAATTTTTTATTTAGAATTTTGCGCAATATCACACAGTTTGTTTTGAACAAATTTTACATAATCTGTTTTTTTCCCATTCGTGATATAATAGTTAAACATTAAAAACAACTATTATTGTTAAAGTAAAATAACACCTAAAAGATACAATATCAAGTACAGAAACTCTATTTAAACAGCCGCAATCGTACGAAACCATTTTTATATTTTGTTTTGATCAACTATAACATATAGATCGGTCTGTTGTTTTCTTTCTGTGCATACCTAAATCGTTCATACTTGCATTTTATGCTTACTTCGTATCGAACACTATACCAGGTTTTTTAAAATTATATTATTATTTGTATCTATTAAGCATTTACCAAAACATATTTTATTAATCATGGACGGAAAAAGAACAGACGTTGTCGGTAAGAATATTTAAAAAATCAATAAATGTAAAAATATTTATAAAATGATAAAGAAATATAATGATTTTTTTAAAATATGTTTTTTTGGCTTAGAATTTTTTGAAATAAAAAAAGAAATCTACCAAGATGAATCATGCCCACAACTATTCAGGTAACAGTTTTATAATATTTTATAACGCAGCAATACAGTTTTATAAAATCTATATATATATATTTTTAATAATATACAAAACATTGCTGAAAATATGATACAATTGACTAATATATTGCTTGATTGTATGAGCTACGATATGAAATCGAAAATATGTTATAGTATTAGAGAATAAATTAATTATTGTATCAATTGTTATATTAATTATATTGGGCTTTAATAGAAAATACAATAACTAGTTATTATACACAGTAGTATAGGTACATAACATTACCCAATAGAGGACTTGCAAATAATATAACTTAATTGACGGATAATAGAATTATTATTACATTTGTTACTTTTACTGACAGTAACCAGTCTAAATTTACTGCTGATTTAAATATCACCACTGGTACGATTATAAAGATTTTAGTTTAGTGAAAAATAAGTGAAAACCAAGTGGTTATGCTATAATAAATGTAGTTTAAATCTACTACTATGAGACTAGATTTTATCAACATGAACTATGTGTATGTTAAGTAAAAAAAAGAGCCGATAATAGATTTTTGGGTATATTTTGATATTTTAAGACCTAATCATAAAATAATAGTTTTAATTTTAAAAGTTTTAAAAATGCTAAATAAGAAATATAAAATTATTAAAATTTAAAAGATAAACAAAATTGAATTTATGAATGTCTTAAAGCATTCATAGATTGAAATATTATGTAAATAATTTTGTTTTGTATTGAAACTTACTATGGTGTCACATTGTGTATGCGTTAGTTTTATATAAAAAATTATGGTGACATTACAATTTAAATTAATTTTCGCTTTCAATGTACTACTTTATCTATGATTAAATGAATAATTATAATTATTATTATTATAATACGATTGCAATAATTGTATTATTCTGTGCATACAGTTTTATAAACTACTATGATAAATAAGTTTAAGATTTAAGTACTACATATTTTTTACATACATACTTACTTCTCATTTAATAAGTAAATCGTAATTACAACTTACTTGTCTATATTTATCTTAGAAGTTAAGAAATAATAACTGACTCCATTAACACATATTCTGGGAGACATGTATTATTTACACAACGTATTATTTTGTTGTTGTTAGAAAATCCGCAATTAAATTGGAAGTCGGCGAAGTCGATAAAGATCATTTTTTCAAATCTGAGATAAAAACAGAAGAAAATGAAGATTTATCAGTTGTAAAAGAAGAATTTTTGGACCTTCATTATACTGAGTGAGTCCATAATTTTGATAGTGAAATTATTACCTTAATTTGTTTAACCATTTAAAAGGTAAACTTTCCGTATACTTAATTGTGTCCATTAGTTTTAAGAGAAACTGTGTGTTCTTTAGACAGAATCCGATATTTTCCCATATACTTATTGTTTATTATATATTGTTGTATATTATTGTTTATTTATTATTATTATTTTTATTTAATTATTGTTTATTTATTCTATTCACAATATGCTTGTCTACCTTAAGGTCTTAAGAAATTGAGGATACGGTTATGTAACATGTATGATCACTAACTAAATTTTTGTTTTGTTTAAGTTTTGTCGAATCAAACTTCGATGCAAAAAATATTAAGATTGAAAACACTGAAGCCGTGAATAGTTCTGACTTGGTATTTTTAGTTCCAGAACCGCTATTTACTGGGTAAGTAATTTTTTTTTAAATTTAATATTACACCTCTTATCTTCTATCTATTCACTGAGGTCGGCCATATACATATTGTATATTCCACGCACACCTTGGTTATCTTTACATCTTCTTCTTCTTTTATCTCATTCGAAAGGGTCAACCAGCCAAATCTAATAGAAACCCAGCAGAAACAAATTGTTGCTCATCATTGCTCTTGTAGGTATCATATGATACCAAAACGTAATTATAGTGTATTAATAAGCTACACAATATTTTTTTTTGGCCCTTAACTGCATAAAAGTACCGTTTGTGTACATTTTATAAAAATCATATTACTTTATTCATTAGTAGGTTCACATATAAGAAATAAAACCGATCCAAATGTAATTAGCTATTAATAAAAATGTACATGAATAGGTTAAAAATAATTACTACTATTTGAATTTTCATAGTTAAAAATATCCTTGTGGTGTCGTACATTCAATCATCAAAATACCCCCAAAAAAATATCATCACAAGACTTTTAATATGAAATGCATTAAGTATTGGTTATTTTGTATACCTATAAAAATAAAAATTATTAAACAATGATCACTATGAGTACAGTTGTGATGTATATTTTCAACTCCAAAGATTCTGACTCGTGTGTGATTTTTAAAAAAAATATTTTGTTTTATTTTCTTAAAAAAATTATGTTTTTTATTTTGTTTTAAACTTCAAACTTTAAGTTTAAACATACACAATTCACTACCATAATAAATTGTAAATTATGTTGTTTTAGCGATACATTCAATACAATAAAACATGACCGATTTTTTACTGAAGAAGAGCCATCCACGCAGGAAGAACTGATAATGTCTAACGAGAAACTAATTCAACGTACCTTATGCTCAAGAACATTCGCACAACCCAAAAAACATGAAAACCTATTTCAATGCGAAGTGTTCTCACAACAAGCAGCACTCTCACAATCTGGTAATCTCAAAACGCACACGGGCTATACACCTTTGCAATGTTCAGTATGCTTGAAGAAATTTTCACAGTATGGAAGTCTAAAAATGCACAATAGAACACACACGGGCGAGAAGCCTTTTCAGTGTGAAGTATGCTTAAAGACATTCTCACAGTCTGGAAATCTTAAAACACACAAAAGGACCCACACGGGCGAGAGGCCTTTTCAGTGTGAAATATGTTTGGAGACATTTTCATATTCTGGATATCTTAAAACGCACAAAAGGTCACACACGGGCGAGAGGCCTTTTCAGTGTGAAATATGCTTGGAGACATTTTCACAACATGAAAATCTTAAACTGCACAAACGGACACATGCGGGCGAGAAGCCTTTCAATTGTGAATTATGTTTCAAGGCGTTTTCAGTATCTAGTTATCTTAACAAACATAGAATGACTCACACTGGTGAGAGATCTTTTCAGTGTAAAGTATGCCTAAAGGCTTTCTCACAACCGGGTCATCTCATAATGCATAAAAGGACACACTGGGTCGAAAAAGTGTAAAAATTGAGAAAAAAAATGATTCTAAACTAAGTTTATAAACATTTTTTTTTTTAGTTTATTGTATATATTATGTACTGCACAACACGTTTTGTAGAATACTTTGGAATAGAAACATATGTTATTGTACAAAAATAGAGCCTGTAACCGTTATTGATGTAGAAATAAAAATCTTAAAAAAATGTATCAAATCATTAAAACAATTTTATGTATACTTATGCAGAATGATACTTTTAAGTTTTGTGCTCAAGTACCACTTTTGACTTTAAGTTTACACAAATTCAATTTTTTTTAGCTAAGTAAATTTAAAAACTGATATTGAATTCGTAATCACCGACCCCAAAAACATATAATTTGAAGCCTTTTACTTAAAAATTCAGAAAAATGTGTTAGCTTTGATGCAGAGCGGCGAAGGTATTGGTTTTATTCTGATGTGAGCTTTTTTTTATCTGTATACACTGTAACTTTTTTAATACTGGACCAATTACAAACACGGTGTACCAGATGTGAGAAACGAAGAGACGCTAAAAACTGTCGGTTGGTAACGTTGACCCGTGTTAGGTTAGGTTAGGACCAGTGGTCGGTATCATAATATTATGTTTATTACATGATATCACAGACGATTAAATCGTGTTACTGATTATAGTAGATACACGATTTGTTGGGAAAAAACCGATCCGTGTACTTATTAAGACACTTAATGGTTCTGACACGACAAAACCACTGTTGTTATCTCGTTATTCTCCATCACAGTACCAGTATACGATTTAATTTTATTTAAATGTTAGAAACTCAATTTTTCTTTAGAAATAACATAAATTAATATACAGGGTGGGGCAGTAAAACCGGCGATTTCCCAATATATTTAAATGGGAAAACTCGTTTCACTACCCCAACCTTTACATTTTATGGATCTATGAAAAGGTTTTTAGTTGCATTTTGTTTTGTAACATGAATCGTCACCATCCCAACTAAATATAACAAGACATTATATATGTGTTAGTTGGTCCACTACGTTTTTGCAAAAAAAAAACCAGTACAGTAAGGTTGAGGCATAGTGGGGACGGGGAGGTCACAGGTTTACAAGAATTTTTAAATCTGAAAGTGATAAAATCACTTTCGAAAAAACGCTTCGATGCAAATCGGTAGTTTGTATTTTCAAGTCAGTACAGTCCATACCAAGCACAGTATAAACCAGTAAAGTTAGAAAGTATTAAATTGAGGTTCTGTATTTACAAATAAATGCTTATACTATATCCTTTGTCTCAGTAATAGCTCTCAGCAAAAATGATGAATATTTTTTATATAGTTAACGGAAACCCAACCCAAAATTACAAAAAAATGTACAAAGCCGAGTCTGCAACCACGAAAGAGCACTTTTATGTCTCGTTGAAGTACCGAATAAATTTAGAGTAGTGGTGGAATTATAGAAAATGATATAGTATATTAACAAGCGGTAACAAGCTAGTATATTAAAACGTCAAGTTTGTGGCTAAAATTGTAGGGTTTATTATCTGGTCAAAAGTAACTTAACATCGAGAATTAAACTACTTTGAATTTATTATTTAGTTCTAATTTGAACGTTGAACGTACAACATATCTTTTATCTCATATCAGATAACAGCGTAACGCTTATTTTTGGAACAATTTTTTCGTTTTGCTTTTCGGTTATTTGCCACAGTTAATTCCCACCCCTAACCTCTTCTTCATCCCCATTTCTTTTTGGGTAACGCTTTTTTCGTTATAATTTTTTCAGTTATGTGCCAGAGCAAAGATATGAAAATGTCAAATTGTAAAGTCTTAGTCTTTTCATTGTATACAATAATATAATTTTAAATTTACATGTTTACTGCTATTGATAATGATAATTTTTACCAAAAAAGTCTATTGGTTTATTTTGAAATAGTGTCACTTAAATTGCATACCAACAAAATAATATGGACAAAATTTCATGAAAATGGCAAAAACTTGGGAAAATTTGTTTGAATTTTACTTAGAGTGTTTTCGTTTTAAGAAAAGCTAGATTGTAATAAGCAATGTGTACTTAAGATTCTATGTAGAGCTTAAGAGGTTCTTAATTTCATTGATGCGATATTTCCTTTTATGGTTTTTGGTTTTCTTCAAATACACAGACTATTGGACTTAATTAGAAATTAGCATAACAAAAGTGTGTTTAAAAATTTCACGAAGCTTACAAATTCGAAATGTTACTTGAATTGGTATTAATGTTTAAATATTATTTTTACAGTATAAAAAGTGACTGGTTACAAAACAAAGTCACTGGTTTTGTTTACGGGTTTGAACCGTGGACTGATCTGCTGGGATTCGGTAATAATACAATAAATAGTAACGAAATATAAGAGCAAAATAGTATATTAATCAATCAAATTTACATTTGTATGTGAATATGTGAAATATTACATACATGCAGTAATTCGAGAACAGTTAACAACTAAAAAAAAAAATTTCGAATGATGAGTTTTTCAGCTGTTTTAGCTGTGAATTCTCCATCTGAAAGTATAAAATATGAATTATTATACATTATGTAAACAAACATATCAGGCCAATTGAGTTGAAAATAACAATGTTACACTAAAAAAAACGTCTTTGTTTCAAATAATCGTACGAGTTGAATAATGTAATATCACGTATCTCACGCTAATTCTTTTTTTGTACATCAAAAAAGTTTTTTAATTTGTTAGTTATTTTCGAGTTTTAATATTAAGTTAAAAAAAAAAAATGACAAATTTTATTATCATAATGTTTTTGCAATAGTTTTTGAACGTTTTACTCGACACATTTATTGAATACTACTCTATTGTTATATTACTTTTCCATGTCTCTATGAATTGCTCATATGTGGGTATTTCCATGGGTACATGCGCTTTAGCTTTTACTTCCATGCATATTGCTATAATGTCTTCATAATATTTGAATAGACAACCATCACGACGCTGGATCTCTTTTTTTATTATTGCCTATTATTATAAGAGTATTAATTAGAAATTAAATAGTGTATTACAAGTTACAAATAAAACTGATTTCTCTTTAGCGAAATAAAAACTGCTATCTACAACACACAAAATAAGTTTTTATATGCAAAAAAAAAACATCAATTTTATAGTAGTTAACGTATTGATTTCATATTTTGTAAAAAATGGGAGAAGATATTATATTTAAATTCTCTCTTACTGTATCAATAATTGGAAAAATTCGTTCGAAAATGGTTCTTCTATTAAATACCTTTTTATATGTAAATAATGAGTGGAAAAATCATTTACTATGAAAATCCTACTGTTTTAGTATTGGGAAGTACGTACATATTTTTTAGGTTTAAGAGAAAGACAATATCTATCGAATCCAGAAAAGAAAAAATGGCAGATGTTTAACTTTTTTGAAAGTTTGAATATTTTGAATATCTCACAAAACCAACCTAACAAGCCTTTTATCTGTAATATAGTATTATGGTTTATATTTACACGTATTCCAGGTTCTTTTGTAGCAGCAAACGCTAGGGCATAGGTCATAACTTCATCCTTCCCAAACATACGGTCTGAAAGTACAAAATATTATATATTTTTTAAATAAACGAATTCAAATGAGTTGAGAATAACTATGTGGTATACTAGAAAAACATCAATATTTAGTATCAATATTTAAAATAATAGTAGTTTTTAGAATAGTAATGTAATAAAAATAAGGTCCCAATTTTTTCAATTATTTATTAGGTTTTATTTATTACTAACTCTTAGTTTAAAAAAAAATACTTTTTTATAGTTATTACACTTAATTGTTAATGATGATATCTTTTCAATGGTTTTTGATCATTTTACTCAACATATTTATTGAATATTTTTATACATTTTTAATTACTTGATTGTAATTCTAGCCTTTCAAACACATCCATACTGGCGAAGTCTGTGGTTGTTATGTCAGCTTCCTTAGCTACTTTGGCACATATGGCTTTTATTTTATCAAACTTTACGTAGTCATCTTGCTTCATAATTTGCTCGACTATGTCACTAACCAATCTCTATAATTTATAGAATAAGAATTTAATTTTAAAATGTATTTTATAATTAACTCAAAAACTAATCCTGCTTTAGCGAACCAAAACGTTAAACTATGAACAAACCTTTGGTGAAAACCCCCTCCCCGCGGAACTTTTTGAAGCGTACCCAGCATTTTAATTTTTCATTTCTGTTTAAAACAATGGAAGAAATCTTTTTGTAAGCTTCTTATATTTATTTAGTTTTTTATGTAAGAAATCAGTAACAAAATCATTTTATGGTTTGAGAAAAAAAACGTTATAATTCGAGAAGCTAAGAATTTTTATACTAATAATAAAAACCTATACTTTTTAGAGTTATAAGTGTTAACCCTATTTTAAATGGGAGAATTAAAAGTTTGAATATTTCGAATATCTCAACACAAATAAACGAACGAGCTTTTTATCTGTAATATAGTTTTATAGTTTTTATTTACATTTAATCTTGGTGTTCCTTTAGTTGTGTACGATAGGATGGCGATTTCAACTTGGTCATTTGTATAAAGGAAACCTGAAAGTACATAGTATAAATTTAAATAACCAAATTTAACAGCAAGGGAATCGAGAATAGTATCGTGCTAAAATTACAAAACATTTGTTTTTTATGTTAATGTAATTTTAGAATAATAAAGTCAATTCACATTATATATTTATAGTGATATTGGTTAATGACTTATCACATTTTATAATTTGTTTTGTACATCATCAAAATGTACCCGTTTTTTAAACTTTTTATTTGGTTTAAGAGTTATGATTTTTTGGTTAAAATTTTTTTATAATTTTTAGCTATATAAAGAACAAAATTGATTATTAAATGGTTTTGTCAACATTTTTCTAATATCTATTACCGAAATCCATATCCTCTGCATCATAATTTTTGTCGATTGTTTGTCCTATTTCGAGTAATACTTTACTTAATTGAGTAAAGTCCATTTTGCCATCATCCCCCACTTTTGACGCGATTTTTTCTTTAATCATAGTCTGTAATTTTCAGAATAAGTGTTAAAGTATGTTCAGTATAAGTGAAAAATATTTTTTTAAGAGTAACTGGCGATTGTAAGAACATTAAATACATTTTTTAAACAATATA